GAGACTGGGCATAAAAAAAAAAAAAGTTTGGTTCCGGTTTGTTGTCAGTTGAGGCCATGGGTCGGTAGGGATTTTTTTTTTTTTTTTTTTTTTTTTTTAGTGGCAGCAAGGGATAGGTAGGAAATTATTCAGGGCTCGACCTTAAGCCTTTTCATGTGCTTGCCCTCCGAACATGTAAATCTGTCATTCACTTGTCAGAGTAAAAAAGTTGCTTGTCTGGATTTTTTTTATTTTTTTTATTTTTATTCTAAAGCAATGTTCTCATCAGTGTTCAATCAGCTTTGATATTTAAATTGGCATATTGTATGCCAATTTAAATCTTATTAAATGCCCTATAGTGTCGTCTTATTCTAAATAATTGAATTTATTGATCAAATTTAGGAATTTAAAATGAAAGATGAAGCATACTGTTACCCTATAGGGCTGATCAAATTAAATAATTTACACTGAAAAATTACAATTGCATAAAATAATGTTATGAAATTGATTTAAATGTACAAATAAGAAACATCAGAAAGAAGTAGCCTATACTAGGCTACTTATAAACATAACACTAAACTGCCAATAGGTGGTGGCAGGCGGCCGTATTAATGAGTGAGTCATTGATTCATTAATTCAAACGATTCGTTTAAACGGCTGATCATTCAAGGATGAGACATGAGACAAGGATGAGACGGTTGAGTCTTTGACTCAACCGATTCGGTCAAAATGCTGAATCATTCAGTAATAAAAACAGGTTGAGTGTTCCTGTGAGATGCGCAATGGTTCTGCAGTGATTTTTGTTTGGAACTATTTTCGCTGCAGAAACAGAACAAAAACAGCCAATATTTCAATCTAAAATGTAAGTGACTAAATTTTACCTGTTTATTGAACTGTTGGGTAACACTTTAGAATACGGTTCCTTTGTTAATGAATAACTACACAGGAACAAATGAGTAACACAATATTAACAATCTAGTAACTACTATTAACTAACAAAAAATTCTGATTAACGAATTAGTAAGTAACAGCGCACAGATGAAAGTGGTAGTTCACTATTAACTAATTGATAACTACTTTTTTTTTAATGCTTCCCAGAGAACTACTGAAGAAGATTAATAGTTCATGCAAAACTTAACTAATCAATAACTAATGCAGGACAAATGACTAGCACAACATTAACATTAATAACTGCTGTAAACAAATACACAAGGTTTATCAATATGTAATAGCATAGCAGACTTATGATTTGGGAAATAATTAGCCTATGCTCTCTCCTAGAGAACTATTTATCAACTAAATAATTTTAAAGAAATGGCTTTTTAAATGCAGTTGTCGGGACCTACTTGTCCTGTAGTGATTCAATGCCAGTCCAGAGGAATGCCAGAAAATTGGCCAGAGTCACGGTGACGGCTGGAACATAATGAGTTATCGGCCATCCAAATACCATATACAGTGATTTTATTATTTAACCTATACCTCAAAAAAAAAAAAAAAAAAGATTTTATTAATGTCTCCTACCTCATACGTGTGTGCAAATATCTTGTGAAGGATTAGAAGATTCTACACTTTAGGATTGGCTTTTCATGTAAGAATCATGATAACTAACTAGTAATGACTCAAGTGTTACTACATACTTCTAAAGGAATTACTAATTTTTTGCATTCCGTATTCTAAAGTGAAGATCACGGTAACTAACTAGTAATTACTCAAGTGTTACTACATACTTCTATGGGAATTACTATCTAAAACTTCACCAAAAACCTCAAAAGCTTAAAAGAATTAGTAATTCCTTTAGAAGTATGTAGTAACACTTGAGTAATTACTGGTTAGTTACCATGATATTCACTTTAGAATACGGATCCAAATAATTAGTCATTCCTTTAGAAGTATGTAGTAACACTTGAGTCATTACTAGTTAGTTACCATTATTCTTACAGTAGTTCTCTGGGAAGCATTAAAAAAAAGTAGTTATTGATTAGTTAATAGTGAACTACCACTTTCATCTGTGCGCTGTTACTTAGCCTACTAATTTGTAAATCAGAATTTCTTGTTAGTTAATAGTACACTGTAAACACTAATGCTCAAAATAATTAATTGGTTTGAGTAGGACAAACTTAAATTAAACAAATTAGTTCAGTCAAATGAACTTTTATGAGTATTTAGCACTTTCTTTTTCTTTCAAGTTCACTGAACTGATATATTTTAAGTAAACTGAACTGTTTCATTGTTTTGAGTTTTATGAAATTATTTATTTTAATTTAGACGAACTTAAGTTTAACTGAAACAGCTGGGATGTCTATTTCCCAGCATGCTTTGCCGATGGCACTCGAAAGGGAGAGTAAATGCTAAAATTAAGTGTAATATAATGTTTTTTTGTGTGTAAGATTAATGTTATGTGTGAGATTTAGTAGTGATTCATGTTTTGTTATGCTAATTTAGAAGAATTTCTGTTAATGTTGGCTTTAGGATAGTTACCATGGTGACAAGTGGTGCATGCAGCTTGATTTGAGAGCAAATAATCCATTTATATTGCTGTGCTCATACAGCAAGCGATTCTGTATAACATACTATTGCTAATATGTTAGCATTTACTATGTTAGCAGATTAGCTTTTTAAAGCTAACTAAGTTTATACTAATAAAAGTATTTTGAGTTCTGCCAACTTATTTGGGTTTACAGTGTATTTCATAGATTTAAGATATATTAACTGAATGGAATTAGTACTATTAACTTTATTTACCCAAGTTATCTTAACAATAAGTTATTGAGTTACTTGAACACAAATCAAATATTTTTTTAAGCTTAAATTGTTTGAGTTAATAAACTTAAATGATTTAAGGCAATCGGTTTCCTCAAACGGTTTGAGTTGAACTAACTCATCAGGTTTTACAGTGTAGTTACTAGATTGTTAATATTGTGTTACTCATTTGTTCCTGTGTAGTTATTCATTAACGAAGGAACCGTATTCTAAAGTGTTACCAACTGTTGTAGGAAATCAATGTCACATTTTCAATCGTCATATGGTATTAAGGAAAAATAATTGAGGCTGCTTAACACATATGTTAAAATATAGAAACTCCACATTTCGATTTTTTTTATAGGCAGTATGATGTTAACAGTGTGTGCTGCGCTCATGTGTGTGTAGATTTCTCCTCGAGAGGCTGCGCGAGCGTCAACAGCGTAACCTCACCGTCAGCAGGCTAATACATTTATTATCCACAATCGATCGCAACTTACAATAAATGTAATAAAATCAGAATCATTCTCTCGGTTTAGTGATTCCCTAGTTATTTTTTTGTTTGTTATTGATGTTCTAATCAGGCTACTTGTACTTGTCCCTTCGGGCAAGTAAAATTCTATTTACTTGTCCTTCAAAAATCCATTTGTCGCGGACAAGTTAGACGGGCTCTGGAGATACGAAGCGCGGCAGGTTAGAGTGTTTTGGATTGCATAAAATAATAAAAGAAACGAACAAATACATGGTGAAAGAAGTGGTAGACAGCAGAAGAGGGTATTGGGATTTGATTTGGGATGATTTTTAGTGAAACTTGGGAGGCGGATGGAGGTTAGGCTACTCTTTAACGCATCATGTGGTGTGTGCGTGCCTATGAATGCATGCATTTGTATGTGTGCGTATATGAATAAAAGTGTCCTTAATGACAAAAAAAAACAAAAACTTGTATTATAGTTCAGTTTGACGAACGATGTGTGAACGACCATGTAGCTGCCTCGTTTGTTTTGCTGGAGGACAACAGGCATCTTGCATCGCGTGCTGTACAAAAACGTAAATTATAGTTCGCCTCAAAGTTTTTTATTTGTGTATTTATTTAATTTTTATTATTTCTTCCCTAAGCTCATAAAATAAATTTAGGTCGCACATAAATTGACAGGGTCGGTCGGAAACCGGAACCAAACAAAAAAAAAATGTTATGCCCTGCCAAGATTTGGTAGACCTATCAGAGTCCCAAGAAGGTACATGGAGTAATACAGTGACTGTCCTAAGAGTTACATACGTTTATTGTTATGTACAAGTTATGTTGTTCATTTTTTCCAAGTAACTTAAAGGGCACTTAACTATTATGCCCCTTTTTACAAGATATTGGTCTTGGGTGTCCCCAGAATGTATTTGTGAAGTTTCAGCACAAAATACCCCACAGTTAATTTATTATAACCATTTGAAAATGTCATTTTTGGAGCCTGTTTTAAACAGAGCTGTTTTGGTGTGTACCACCTTAAATGTAAATGAGCTGCATATCCCCGCCCTGCCTTTGGATGAGGGCGTAACTTGCAAACCTAATGGCAATAAACAGTCGGTAGAAGCAGAATGGCAGAGAGTGAGAGATCCGCTGTTTTGTATGCATTCAGCCGTACATGTTTGAACTGGAATCAGACCCAGATGATGAAGAGACTCCGGCAGAATAAACACAAATGAGATTGGACCAGGACGTCTCGGGATGGTTATAGATTTATGTACTTATGCCGCGTTCCAGGCAACCTGTAACCCGTGTTTTTGTCACGGGTTTGACTGCCGTTCCAGTGCACTTTCACGGGTATAAGGTTGGAAAAACACGGGTTACAGGTTGCCTGGAACGATGTAACGTTACTCCCAGTTACGAGTTGGAAAAACACGGGTTACAGGTTGCCTGGAACGCGGCATTAATATAATCGCGTCCCCTTTGCAATTATGGATGTGCAACACACACACACACTGTGATAACGTTGGCGCAATTTTTTGAAACTACAAACACAAATACTGTGATAACGTTTGCTACGTACAAACGAAATTACATTTATGCGAGGGACCTGTTGGATCATGTTGACATTAACGTTACTTGTCGTAAAGGTGCTTATGTGGCAAATGTGAGAAGATGGCTACAGAACAAGAAAATATATTGTTGTAGAGTGAGCTTTTGTAGATTAACCTGTAGGGGGCAATCTAATGTTTTTTGGCTTTGGGCTTAAGAGTAGCAAAGAAGAAACTGTCAGTAGACATGTGTTCCACCTGGAACTGTTCTCAAGTGTACTGCTGTCTTGATGTTCCTTGAGTAAATGAACTGCCTTTAACGGATTTGTCTCCTGCAAGTTATTACATTTTGGCGACGAGGATGAAAGCAAGAGAAGAAACGCCTTGAAGAGGAAAAAGTGTTGGAAGGTGAATAAGTTTAATCCATACAAGTTGGAGCTTGGGAAAAGAAGATGGCCAACATGGTAGGAACAGTCACGCCTTTTGATAGTCAATCTCAGTCTTGGGAAGAATATTGTGAGATCTTGCAGCATTTCTTCGAGGCAAATGAAATTACAGAAGCAGTCAAGCAAAAAGCTATATTGTTGAGCACTGTAGGAAGTCAAACATACAGTCTACTGAGGAATTTACTGATCCCAGTTAAACCAGGAACAAAGACATTTGGGGAATTAGTAGAATTGCTTAAAGAGCATTTCAACCCAAAACCTAGTGAAATTGTACAACGGTTTAAATTCAATTCAAGATCAAGAGAAGAGGGGGAAACTGTACTTGAGTATGTGGCAGTATTAAGGAAATTGGCTCATGATTGTAACTATGGAGAAAAATTGACAGAAATGCTTCGGGATAGACTGGTATGTGGCATAAATGATGACCGTATTCAACGTAGACTGTTGGCAGAAGCGGATCTAACTTTTGAAAAGGCTTTGAAAGTAGCTCAAGCAATGGAAACGGCCAATAAGGATGTAAGGGATTTGCAAGCTAAACGCTCAGAAACATCCATGTCAATGAGAGTGCATAAAACATCAGTAAAGCAGGACGAAAGTCAAAGCAGAGCATGTTACAGATGTGGAAGTTTGCAACATTTGGCCAATGAGTGCAGATTTGTTTCTGAGAAATGTCACCAATGTGGGAAACAAGGGCACATAATGAAAGTATGCAAATCAAAAAGTTCCAGCAGAGACACAAACTTTCAAGGGGGAGAAAGACGTAAGAGAGTTGTGACCAGAGGAGGACAGAGATCGTATTATGTGGGCAGAGATGAAAAAAGTGCATCTGATGAAGAGGGGATTTTTACAGTTCACAGTTTGAAAGAAACCGAGATTCCAAAGGTTGCTCCACTGACTATTACATTGGCGGTTAATGAGTCCATCATACCTTTTGAAGTGGATACCGGTTGTGGTGTGACTGTGATGAATGGGTCAAATTTTTCCAAATTATGGACAAAGCATAAAATTCCAGAATTAAAGACCTGTGCCCGGTTGCATAAAGCACCTTAAGTGTAATTTTCCCTTAAGGTTGCCCTTATGTTTCCCTTAAACCTAAGGGTGTTGCAGAAAAATACCCTTAAGTGTTACTTAACGTTTTTTTTAAGTGAAACGTCATAAACACTTAGAATTTCCCTTAAATGCTGTTTTTTCACTTAAGTAATCGTTAAGTGTTGCATAAAACCCCTTAACGGTAATTTCCCTAAGTATAACTTAAGGTTTGGAAATTGTAACCTTAAGAGTAACGCGGACAAAAATAAGACGACATGGCTGAATTTATGGAACCAGCTGAAGATCATAGGGAATAGGGAGAACCCTTTGGACCAATTTAGCGATGAAAAATTGTTGCAAGAATACCGATTTGATCGACGCGCAATATTTGACATCGCTATCAAACTAGACGGGTGTCTGTCTGTCATTACACGCGACTCGCATGTAGACTATCACAACGTTAAGTTAGTGCGCAAACGGAGAGTGTGTGGCCGACCCGTGCAGAAAAAAATTCACAGGAGAACGAGCTGATTCTGTGTTTTAAAAGGAATCATGACAGAAGAAAACAGGTATGCTATGGAAATATACTCAGCTGTATTTCGAGACACAGAGCCAGAAGTGCATTCATAAAACCTAAACAAATGCCAAAGCATGAGACGGTGAACAACACAAACTGCCGCCACTTTCGGAGCTAACGCGGTGTTGCGTGATAGCGTCACTGGACTGACACGTGATATTCCGACATGTTAGTGTTTTGCGTATCTATGGCAACAACAGACTGTTATAACGTGAATCCAGGATCGCTGTCGTGAAACACTTAAATGTTTCCCTTACCTAAGAGAACCGTTTAAGAGATTATATGCAACACCCTTAAGTTATTCTCTTAGGTAAGGGGAAATCGCCCCTTAAGTATCATACTTAAGGGAAAAACTTAAGGTGCTTTATGCAACCGGGCACTGTTCTTTGAAGTTAAAAACCTATACTGGCCAAACCTTAACAGTGTTAGGTTCTGCGCAAGTGGAAGTTAGACACAAAGGAGCCATGGAGGAGTTACCGGTAGTGGTAGTACCTGGAACAGGACCCAATCTCTTGGGTAGAGGATGGATTAAGGAATTGGGCATGGAATGGGAGGCCATACATAAGATTCAAGGGGTGGAAAATGTAACCTTGACTGAAGTGCTTAGCCAACATTCAGAGTTGTTTAAAGAGGAATTGGGTGAATTGAGAGGTCCACCGGCAAAGATTTATGTGGACAAGGAAGCGGTTCCCAGATTTTTCAAAGCCAGACCAGTTCCTTATGCAATGAAGACAAAGGTAGAAGCTGAAATAGAACGCCTGTTAAAAGAAAAAATCATAGAACCTGTTAAACATTCTGAATGGGCTGCCCCTGTAGTGCCGGTTTTAAAATCGGATAATACTGTACGACTATGTGGTGACTACAAGCTAACGGTGAATAGAGTTTCAAAGTTGGAACAATATCCCATTCCTCGAATAGACGATTTGTTTGCAACATTGTCAGGTGGACAAAAGTTTACCAACCTGGATATGAGCCATGCTTACCACCAGATTGCATTAGATGCGGAGTCCAAGAAATATGTCACAGTGAATACCCACAAGGGCCTGTTTACTTACCGTGTTTTACCCTTTGGAGTGTCTTCTAGTCCTGCCATCTTCCAGAGGACCATTGAGGGAGTACTGCAAGGTCTTCCGTATGTGGCGGTTTTCCTGGATGACATCCTGGTGACTGGTCGTAATGATGAGGAGCATCTCCAAACGCTCGCCAGGGTATTGGAAAGATTGCAGGAAGCGGGACTGCGGTTGAAACGGAGTAAATGTTCCTTTATGGAAAAAGAGGTAACTTTCTTGGGCCATAAAGTAGATGAGACTGGCCTCCACCTAGTACCAGAAAAGGTGACTGCTATTCAAAACGCTCCCTCACCAAAGAATGTGACAGAGTTGAAGGCCTATTTGGGACTGTTAAACTACTATAATAAGTTCCTACCCAACTTGTCTACCATTTTAGCCCCTGTGCACAAATTGCTGCGAAAAGATGAAAAATGGAACTGGGAGGAGGAACAAGAGGCTGCTTTTGCTCAGTCCAAGGAAATGATCAACTCAGTACAAGTTCTGGTCCACTATGACCCCCAGAAGGATGTGATTTTATCATGTGATGCTTCTCCTTATGGCCTAGGTGCAGTTCTTTCGCATAAGATGCCAGATGGTAGTGAGAGACCCATTGGATTTATGTCAAGGACTTTGAATCAAGCGGAGCGGAATTATTCGCAGTTGGACAAGGAAGGGTTGGCCATCATGTTCGGCTTACAACGCTTCCATAAGTATTTGTATGGTCGGAAGTTTACTATAGTTACGGACCATAAACCCTTGTTGTCCTTATTTAATGAATTAAAAGCTGTTCCCCAAATGTCATCTCCTAGGATCCAGCGATGGGCTGTGACACTAAGAGCCTATGAATACAACATCATCTACAAGCCGGGCAAAGATCATGGAAATGCAGATGCTCTAAGTCGGTTACCAGTGTCAACGGAATCAGGCATTGAACAGGAGGAAAGAGTCCTGATGCTGGAGAATGCAGACATAACCTTAATAACTGCAGAACAAGTGAGAGGGTGGACGCAAAAAGATCCGGTATTATCCAGGGTGAGAGAAATGGTGCAACGTGGTGGGCATGAGTTAATTGGAGCAGAGTTTGACCCTTTTACATCAAGAAAATATTAATTAAGTGTACATGATGGTTGTGTGCTCTGGGGGGCCAGGGTCATCATTCCCAGTGTGGGTAGATCAGAAGTCCTGAAACAATTGCATCAGTGTCACCCAGGAGTGTCCAGGATGAAAGCTATGGCCCGAAGTTACGTATGGTGGCCCAAGTTAGATCAAGATGTTGAAAGGTTGGTTAAAACATGTCATCTGTGCCAAGAGCATAGGAATGTTCCGGCTGTAGCCCCACTGCATCCTTGGAATTGGCCAGAAAAACCATGGCAAAGATTGCATGTGGATTATGCTGGACCATTTATGGGAAAAATGTTCTTGGTCTTGATTGATGCACATTCGAAATGGATGGACGTGTATCCTGTGAACTCAGCCACATCGGCTGCCACCATTGAATGTTTGCGTAAAAGTTTCAGTAACCAGGGACTACCGGAACTTATTGTATCAGATAATGCTACTTGTTTTGTTAGTGCTGAAGTTAAAGAGTTCCTGAACAAAAATGGAGTTCAGCATGTTACTTCTGCACCTTATCATGCTTCGAGTAATGGGTTAGTGGAACGGGCCGTACAAATTATTAAAGGCATGCTAAAAAAATGTGTTGAAGGGACGATTGTAACTAAATTGGCCCGAGTGTTATTCAGCTATAGGATTACTCCTCAGACCACCACCGGTCTCTCTCCAGCTGAAATGTTACAAGGACGGAAATTGCGGTGTTCTCTGGACTTTATGCATCCTGACTTGACTAGGAAGATTCAGAAACAACAACAGAAGCAAAAAGCACATCATGACAAGAAGGCCCACGAACGTAGTTTTGGTATGGGAGATCCAGTTCTGGTTCGCAACTTTAGCTATGGACCGAAATGGATTCCGGGGAACATAGAGACTGTGACTGGACCACTTTCCTATAAAGTGATGCTGGGCGATGGGAGAGTGGTCCGAAGACATGTGGATCAAATTCATGGCCGACAGGAATTGCGGGTGAAACGTCCAGGGGAGGAAATTGACGGTAAATCTCCTGATTATGACTTTTTTGACAACTCTGCTTCTGTGGTTTGTAAAGAGACGGAGACAACAGGGGCTGAGGACATTCCGGAGGAAGTCGATCCCTTTGAAGCAGCTGGGGATTCTTCTCAAGCTGCTGAGATAATAACTGAAATGGACAAATCTGTTAGTCCTGTGGTGATTATGAGAAGGTCACAAAGAACCAGGAAATTGCCTGGTCATTTGAAAGATTATGAAATTAGGTAAAAAAATAAAAAAAATAAATGTAACAGTATTGTGGTCACATGAAGTTCATATATGGTAATTATATTGTAACCTTAGGGGGAAGGGGATGTTGTAGAGTGAGCTTTTGTAGATTAACCTGTAGGGGGCAATCTAATGTTTTTTGGCTTTGGGCTTAAGAGTAGCAAAGAAGAAACTGTCAGTAGACATGTGTTCCACCTGGAACTGTTCTCAAGTGTACTGCTGTCTTGATGTTCCTTGAGTAAATGAACTGCCTTTAACGGATTTGTCTCCTGCAAGTTATTACATATATGCTGCAGTGAGATATAACAGAATTATTAAAAAATATATTTATAAACGTGCGGTTACATACAAACAAGGTTTAAATGATATACACAGACATCCTACGACGACGACAACTTTAGACGCATTTGTTGTTGAATTGGCTGACATCGACTGAAATGACTATTTGCTCAAAAATCATAAAATACACTTACTTCTTCTGGAGGTGACGTTGGATCGCGAACAGTAGGCAATGATCCACACTTGAGGATAAACTTTGAAGCAAGACCTGCTTTGAATTGACCCTTGTTCACAAAACAGTCAGTCAGAAAATGATTCGCCCAAACATAAATGTATTTTGGAAGTTTAAGTAGCGCCTTTCCTTCGTAAATAAAATCCATCCACTGCGTTTTCAGTGGCTCTGATGTCGGAAGTGAAAACTACTGTGTATTACATCCAAGGGGGTAATTCATCGACCGGAAGTTGAAGCCGGCCGGGTGCTGCCATGTTGTAGCAGAACTTCACTTGCGTTAGCATTTCCATTGACTCCCATTCATTTTGGCGTCACTTTGACAGCGAATAACTTTACATCTGAGGCGTTTAAAGACTCCATTTGTCCATTATTTATTTCTAAAGAAACACGACAATGTATAAAGGGCTCCATTACCTTCTATGTTACATTATGGCCCCGTAGAAACAGATTTAGTAAAAATAGGCTAACGATTGCGTCATAACCACTCGACTCTCTGTCGCGCTGTACAGAAATTACCGTACAGACAGGAGGAGAA